AACCTTTTAAACTTGTTTCAAGACTTAAACATTGAGTTGAGTAAGAGTAAGAGTAAAGTTCATTTCTTCAAAAGATTATACGGGAACTAAGTATTCCCAAGAGTTAAAATATTTTCACATTTAAACAAGAAAAGAAACACTGATTTCCAAGAGAGCTTTTAAGCTAGGTTTTGAGTAATAATCTCAAACCATAGAAAGAGATATGTTTTCAAACATATGAGCTGAGCATATTTTGGGAGTAGTATTGAGCACTGATATGGGGACAAGTTCATAAAACTCAAGTCTCCATAAACCATGTAGCCATCGTGGGTAGAAAGAGTCATACTTTTTAGATGATTCCTTAATGGTTTTTAGCATAGACTAGTGGATCCGCTTAGTTGAGGCATTCTATATCCCGACAAGTTATTGGACAGTTCTGACAACGTGGACGAGACGTTGTATCATCACTTTAGCTCATAGTGATTGTTGTTGGTTAGAGAAACTCCCACAAAATTATATTACTTTACTATATGAGTAAATTGAGTTGTTATTACTGTTTAAATGCTTTATAGAAACTGTACGTTTACTGTTGTTATATTTTGCATTTGAGTTGAGTATCCATGAGTTGAGTAAAGTTAAGGTAAGTTTTCTTTTCAAATTCATTTCAAGCTTATGTCGTGTTTAGTTTTCCCCTCGCATGCTCGTATACTCAATATACTGATGTCAGTTGGCTTGCATCTTATTATGATGCAGATACAGGTAACCATAATCAACATCCAATGCCTCATTGATCCAGTTGAACACTCAGAGTCAGTTGGTGAGCCTCCTTGCTTTCCGGAAGATCCCTTTCTATATTGTTTTTTTTTTTGTATTTCAATTATTAGGATGATCGAGGGTCTTGTCCCGACATCCCTCATTGTTTTTAGAGGCGTCATAGACAGATAGTTATAGTTCTTTAGTCTTTCCATTTTCAATTGTTTATGGTAAGACTTGAGTTGCCATTTTGGCTAGTTTAATATTTCTTTAAGTTATTGCATGAGTATTCTTTTGAGACTGCATCTAGTTAATTAAGTCTTCCGCTAAAAGTTAAGTCAGGCCAAGGGTTCGCTTTGGGCCAACAATGTCTTTCGAGTGCAAGCCACATCTGGGGTGTAGACTCGAGACGTGACAATATTAATTATGCATGGTTATTGAATTTTCTAAGTACGTTGATTCATCACGAGATATATATGTGTGATTAACAAAATACATAATTCTAAGAAAGGAACAATACATAAAATGAAAACAAAAACATATCACAAGGATCAACAAAGATAAGGATAAACTATAGCTAGATTCGAACTTAAGTCTCATGGGTGGATCCTCTAGCTTATACCAGTAGCACAATGATACTTTTATGCATTTCATGGATACACTAATAATTATATCTTAATTTTGTCAGTTTATTAAGATAAATATATATAGGGGAAAAAGGATGGATTTACCCCCGAACTTTAATAAATGGTACGTGTATACCCTCCGTTATACTTTGCGTCCACACAAGCCCCTGCCGTCCAATTATAGGTACACACATGCCCCCTCTCACTAACGGACCCCTCATTTTTACACGTGTCTTAATCCTAATGAACTACCCGTTTGACCTTTTTTTAAACCCATAAACCAGCTATCCGCCCCATAACCCAATATCCACCCAATTTCCTCTAAGATATATCCTAATTAAAAGACCCAAATCTAAAGGTCTCGTTCCTATCACCCAATATCAGGCTTAATCATATCACTCAACATCTCATCATACACACATTTCATATCATCAATCATAAAAAACCTCGATAAGCACATCAACAACTTGTTATAACCCCAAACATCAACTTTAAACCTGCACATCATCTCCCGAACAAAACCCATCACGAAAACAACATCATCCCGAGTTTCGCAAGATTTAATCATGGAAAGTCGGGTTCTTTCAGCAACCCGGAAGAGGTTATTGGAAATCAAAATGCGTAAAATGGGTGCGTAAGATTGAGGATTGGGTTTGAATAAAGGGGTATTTCGGGTAGATAAATAATCGAAGAAGGAGATTACAATGTGGGGGTTGAGATTTGGGTTTTGCGAAAGGAAAGAAGAGAAATGAGAAGGGGATAAAGAAGGAATAAGGGTGTTGAGAGAAGGGTGTTTTCGCTTGGGTTTGAAAGGACGGAGAGGAGGTGTTGGTTAATGGAGGAAGTAGAAGTGATGGATTTGATGAAGAAGAGGGAACTTGAGTGAGCTGAACGCAACGCCGTTCATAGTTGCATCATTGTATGAACGGGAAATTCAGCGGCAGAGATGAAGAGAACTCCATGTAACAGTAAGGAAGAGAGTAGAAAATTTAGTTAAGTGTTACAGATCCATTGGAGCTGAGAAATGGAGCTCTGCTGGCTGAGTTGAAGAAGACGACAGTAGGTGATTTCTTTAAAATTTATTTTTTTGTGTGATAGGAACGGGACCTTTAAATTTGGGTCTTTTAATTAGGATATATCTTAGAGGAAATTGGGTGGATATTGGGTTATGGGGCGGATAGTTGGTTTATGGGTTAAAAAAAAAGGGTCAAACGGGTAGTTCATTAGGATTAAGACACGTGTAAAAAAATGAGGGGTCCGTTAGTGAGAGGGGCATGCGTGTACCTATAATTGGACGGCAGGGGCTTATGTGGACGCAAAGTATAACGAAGGGTATACACGTACCATTTATTAAAGTTCGGGGGTAAATCCGTCCTTATATATGGACCATCAATCTTATTTTGTGTTATATATATGTATGATTTGATTTGTTTTGTACTTGTTGATGAGAATGGACCACTGATTCATATTAATTTTGGTTCCACAGGATATATGGACCATCAATGTTATTTTGTGTTGGGCAGAGTAGAATATTCAATAGGGGAGTCAAAATATAAAAAGTAAATATATAATGAAGTCAAAAATATTTAACAAATAGTATATAAACATAAAAGTTTTTTTTTAACTTATTTAAAAATGTATTTTTCTAATGAAGGGGTCTCAAATGAAACCCTTTGGACAAGGATTACTCTGATATTAACTAATTGAACAAGTGCATTAACGATATATTCTCGATTTTTAATCTTTTTTTTTATTTGTCATTGATACTTGATTTTTTAAAAATCAAAATTATGATATTTCATATCATTAATGATCTTTGATTCATGGCTCATGTTTATTACACCACATAAACTCCTTCCTAGCCAAAATTATTTGAAATTTTTTACCGTGGTAATTCATATGCATTATTTTCATGAATAAAGTAAGTTCAACTTATTTAACATATTTTTCATTGAATGGACCACTAAAATTGTAAGTGATAAATGAAATTCGAATTTTTATGGTTGAATTATATTGGATTATTTGTATATTGGGTTTGTTTTCACTTGTAGAGAGTGGACGACTAAACTCTTTTTTTGTTTGAATCTTATTTACCACATGTATTGGAGATATACCATAGAAATATATGTACCATAAAAATATATTGACCATACACAAATTTACGGGTAAAATTTAAAAGGGGAATTTTCGCAAATAGCCATTATAATAAACTTAATTATGCTACTTAGCTATAGTTTACATATTTACAGGTTGTAGCTACATTTTAAGCTGTCTCGTTTGTATAATTCGTGGATTTGTATAATTCACGGGTACATTTGTATAATTTAGTTATTTTTGTATAAACTCGAAATAACAAATTTATACAATTACAAACATCAGAAGTGTAAACATTTATACAAATTATATCATACAAATTCTGAATTATACAAAAGTTATACAAATCATATTATACAGACGTGTGAATTTTACAAAACTAAAAAGCTGAGCCGCGTAATTATAACTAAAAGTAGGCCGCGAATTGTAATTAATTAAGGCAAACTATAGGTATGTTAACTAATTAACTAGTATATATTTGCTTATATGCGTAATTTTTTCAATTTTAAAAAAATGTTATTCGGAGTTGAAGCCCAATGGATAAAAAAAAACCTCTTAAATCATTTAATTTAAGAACTTAAATCCGACATACTCACAATGTAATAATAATATTTTATTTTTTTTACCTATTTACACCGTATAATTTTCCTAAGAAAAGGACGACTCTATCACTAATTGAATAGAAATCCTTCATCACACAAAGTCACCCAACTAATTACCTAGATCTAAATATAATCTAAAAATCTTTTATTTTACACCCTAACGAAGGGGCCCATCAAAGAACACCCCTCAGACAAGGATGACTCTGTCACTAAATGAATAAAAATCCCCCATTACACAAAATCGCACAACTAATATATTATCTAGATCTAACTATAATCTATTAAAAAACTTTTATTTTACACTCTAACGAAGGGTCTCGATCATCAAAGGAGACCTCTCAGATGACAAGGACAACTCTGCCACTAATTGAACAAGAATCCCCCATCACAAAAAATCACACAACTAGTTATCTAGATCTAGATACAATCTATAAAAAAAATCTTTTATTTTACACTCTAGCGTAGGGTCTCTTCAAAGGACACCTCTCAGTCGACAAGAACAACTCTGGCACTAATTGTAATTTTCTAAATTATGTATTTGTGTTTTGTATTGAATAATTTTTTTGTGTTTTAATATTCCTATATATTAAAGCACGAGAGAAGATGATTGTAACATATTATTTTATAATTTATCGTATTGTATTGTTTTAATTATGATTATAATTTTTAGATTAATTGTATCATTTTCCTTCATTATATTACCCTTATATATAAGCCAACAAGAAAAGGACTATCACTGCAATATATAATTGTACATCATGTTGTGTGGATTGTACTTTTATATAGGCTTATTTATTGATTGATGAATACACGTGTGCACACTTCTCTTTGCCAAACAAATATAAGCCAAAAAATGAGAGGATGTAGGAAAACAACTGTAGGTGCCTGTACCAAAGTTCTTTAACAATTGTACTTTATAGCCACGTGTAGGTACTTTGAAATAGATGTCTTGCAATTACTCAACTCCTACATCTTAACCAAAATTTCCTCTCAAGTCTGTCTTCTTTGGAGCAGCTTGGTTCACTCGATGAAGCAGGGGAAAAGGCATCAAAAGTCATGGTTAATCCCTTTACTTTGTCTATTTTTGCCAAATTTTTCTTTATACGTCTGCCTCCTCTATCTGAATTGCCTCATTCATGCTTCTTCATTGGGTTCCTCTGGATATATTTTCTATTTTAGTTTTGCATGTGTTTGAACTAGAAGTTTCACGATTTTGACGGAAAATACAAGCTAATTAGGGTATTATTACTTAGTTATAGGTTTGGATCTAACTTTTTTATGATTATTTTATTTTCGTAGTGCTCGCATCTTCAAAATGAATTGGGACGCTTTCTTAATTTGCAGAAATCGACCTCAGGCGGCGGTGATGTGAGTGGGGGATGTTATCTGCAGCTGAGCAGTAGGAGGCTGGAGAAACCCTTGGTGGGTTTTGAAAGGAAAAGACGGAAACACCCTTTGAAGGAATCGAAAAGACAGAATCGGAGTTTGAGGGTGAGGGAGATGAAGGGCAATCTTGGAATTCTGGGTCTGTTGAGGGTGAAGGGGAGAAGAAGGAAGAAGTTCATGTACAGGAAAATCAGAAGGAAATTGACAACAATGGCAGCTTTGAAGGTGAAAACTTGCTGGAATTTGATGGTACAGAGAGGTGAGTTTTCGCCTTTTCGGGTTTTTTTAACTTCAATTTCTTCATTTTGTTAAATTTGCTCGATGTGATTGTTAGATTTATCAGTATGCATGTTACAATTTATGATTAGGGTTGATGCTCTGTTTACTGGTAAGTCGGAATTCGAACTCTCACCAAAAAGGTGAAAGTTTGCATAGTCATCAAGAGTCTCTCTGCACTTAGTATTGGCACCAATGTTTCTACACTTACATGTTGAGAAAATAGTATTTTCTGCCGGCAGATGCTTGGTGGGAGAAAATAGAACAGCTTTATTCGATATGAGAGCTTTTCCATTCATATACTCATCTTAGTTCCGCGGACTCTTCACTTTTGATGCCACACCGCTGTCGGATTCTCTGAAATTACACTCCTTTGAGAATCCGACATGTACCCATTGGCATTTTTAAGAGTCCGAGCAA